GGGGACATCCTGGGGCTGAGGGGACACCTGGGGCTGAGAGGTCGTGTCCTGAGCTGAGGGGACATCCCGGGGCTGAGGGGACACTCGGGCTGCGGGGACATCCCGGCACCTGCTGCGGGACAGTGACTTCCCAATGGAGCCTGGGCACTGCGCTCCGCTTGGCTGTGGCACAGTTCCCACAGGGCACAGTTCCCACAGGGCACAGTTCCCACACGGCACAGTTCCCACAGCGTTGCTCGTAGCTCGTGCGTGAAGAGCTTGAGCCCTTGTTAGGGCCACAGGGGTAGGACACCGGTAGGACGGTGGGTTTGTGCCGTTTCCCCACGCGGTGAGAGGCCGGTGCCGGGATAACGCGGCAGCCAAACCCCTGTGGCCTCCGGGGAGGGCTCGGCGCGGCAGCTGGTGATTGCCCTGTGGTGCTGTCCGAGCGTCACGTCCCAGCGCTGAGCCACTCAAACACCCTCCATTACTGCTGTTGAGAAGGTAGGAGACGCTGGTTTTAAGAGCTCAGGGGAATCCTGCACCATCCATGTTTGGTGAGATGTTGGTGCAACAGCTGTGGCTGCAGACAGAGGTCACCTCCCGTGCAACAGTTTCATACCCTACTGAGGTGTCATTCCCTGGAGAAATTGAGAGAAACTCACTCAGGTTTGCAAGCAACTGAGGAATAACGACCAGTGAATGCCCTGTGTCTTTGGATGTTATTTTAGAATCCCAGGAAAAAAAAAAAAAAAGGAATACCAAATTACATTTTGTGCTGTTACTTCAGAATGGTAGTGCATGTGTGACAACACCTTAGTGTGGCAAAGGAGTACTTGAGATAGCTGTTTTAAATCTTGCTTACAGAATTAAGACTGGGTTACTACAACTGCTACACTGGTGTAAATTCAGAGTAATCCAATTAAGTGAACTCAAAGCTGTAATACTGCATTTTGCAATTGTGTCTGATAGATGCTTTCCAATTAGCACAGACCATAGACTTTGAGTAACTTTCTGTTTGAACACAAACTTGATTTAAAACTTGATTTTAAAAGTCCAGTAAGATAATTTATTCATTATCCTTAATCACGTTTAGTTATTAATTGACCTAAGTGCTGAAAACACACACATGTAGCAGAGTGTGTGAGTTGCTCTTTCCTAACTCTGACCATTTTCAAATTTTTACAGAGTTTGACTCTTTATTCTGAATGGTGAAAATCTCATTCTTTTAGCTCATAATAAATTTACAGTTAATCGTTTGGGAGTGATGGCTTTCAGGGAAGTTAAAAGTCAGATGCTAATTAGCAAATCACTTGAAGCAGATGTTTTAGAAGTGAATTTGGGTGTCTCTCACCTGTAGGTAATATCACAGATATCACCTTGTTTTGCCTATTTTGTATAGAAGTTTCAGGAACATACACTACCAGCATTATGAATTACATCTGTAGCTCAGTTGTTTATAAGTGGCTGTTGTCAGATTTAAGATGGAAGTCTCATTACCTACATTGTTCATTCCTCAGCTGAAAGCCCAGATGAGAAACAGCTCCCAGATTTTCTGTCTTTCTGTGGGTGTTTGCACTTCACTGGAAAGGCAGCAGGAGTGAAATATTGTGCCATTATTGCAGTGGAATGGAAAAGTGATGTTGTTAGCTCCAGGAGATGGCACTGTGTCCTCTCTGGGATAGGAATGATATACATAGCTTTGAAATGTACATTCAGAACCAAATCTGCGGGGTTTTGCTCCTTCTTGTTATGAAACACACATTTTTTTTGTGGACCTGAATTCACCTTTAACTGTCCCGAATGTGGTATTTAATCACTTTTGGGTTTGCAAGTAATTCATACTTAAATGCAGATGTGTATTTTGCCGTTGTCTGGACACTGTCTTGTGTTTTCCTATTCCTGCCACAGTGCAGCTCTGCCATGAATGTCTTTACAGCCACTTGGAAGGCAGGAGAAGCAGCCGTGTGAACATTTTATGGTTTACCTGAGGTTGTGTAACACTTGTGGTTTCTCAGCCAGCTTCAGATTTGGGTTCCTGTGCATACCAAGTTGTAACTTCATAACGGGCAAATTCCTCTGAAACAACACACAACCCAAGCCTATTAAAAAGCGATTTAAATTAACAAATTGCCTAGTAAGGAGCGAAATACCAGCCCTCCCAAAACGGTGCTGCCTTTGTTGATCGACTCGGAGGGAGGCACTTTGTGTTGGGTTTTTTTTTTCACTGAACTTTCTGTGTGGCATTTGAAAGTAAATAGCTGATAAAACAACAAGAATGGAAAAAAAAAAAAAAAGGAAGGAAAAAAAAAAAAAAAAAAGGAGTGGTGTTTGTGCTGCAGAATCCGCTGGCTGATAGCGAAGGGCTGACCAGAAGGGAAATGGGTGAGGCCTCCACATCCTGCGCTGGCTGCGGGGACCGCGCTGCGCTGCGCGGGGCTCGCTCCCCTTCCCGCGCCTGCTCAGCCTTTTGCAAGGTGCTTCCTCACACCTCGGGCAACAAACTTCCCCCCACACACACACACACACACACACCCCGCAAACCAACGAGTCTCGGCGGTTGAATGAATTAAAGCTGCGGTTTCTGCCGGGGCTCTGCCAACGCGGGAGCCCCGCGGGCTGCCGGCCGGGCCCTGTG